ACGCGCCCTATAGCGTAAAACCTCTCAAAAAAAAAAAAAAATGTAAGAATAGATACCAAGGACCAGCAGTTGACATAATGACTATGTCTCTGGACTCCCATGTAGTTTACCGTGGTTCGAGTCCCGGACCCCGTGGCTTAAACTCATGCCAGGCGCATGTGCGCGTGCCCGTGCCCAAGATCCCGAGAGGAGAATGGAGAAGGGATTGTGGTGTGGTCCTTTCCCCTGGGGGGTGATTTCTCACTTTCTGCCTCTGTCTTTCTGGTGAGCATACAGGCCCTATAGCAAAAACCTTTCAAAAAAATAAAAATGAAAGGATACCAACATTTAAAATTTTGTATTGGGGGAACCAGCAGTTAGTGTAATGACTGTGTCGCTGGACTCCCATGTAGTTGACCGCGGTTCGCGTCCCAGACCCGGTGGCTTAAAACTCACACCGGGCGTGTGTGCATGCGTGCCCAAGATCCCAAGAGGAGAATGGAGGAGAAGGGATTGCGGCGTGACCATCCCCCCTGGGGGGTGATTTCTCGCTTTCTGTCTCTATGTTTCTCTCTGTCTGTCTGGTGAGCGCACACACCCTATAGTGAAAAACCTCTCAAAAAAAAAAAAAAAACATTTAAAATTTTGTATTGGGTTGTCAGAAAAGTAATGATTCATTTTTTTCTATGTAAAATGATTCATGGCTTTTCTAACAACCTAATCTATAGTATCACTGGTGGACTTTAAGATCCTGAAACCTTTTTTTTTTTTGAGAGGTTTTTTGCTATAGGGCGCGTGCGCTCACCAGAAAGACAGAGAGAGACAGAAAGCGAGAAATCACCCCCCAGGGGGGATGGTCACGCCGCAATCCCTTCTCCTCCATTCTCCTCTTCGGATCTTGGGCACGCATGCACACACGCCCGGTGTGAGTTTTAAGCCACCGGGTCTGGGACGCGAACCGCGGTCAACTACATGGGAGTCCAGCGACATAGCCATTACGCCAACTGCTGGTCCCAGATCCTGAAATCTTTATATCATCCATCCCTCACATTCCTCCCAAGTTAGTTTTTTTCTTCACTAGTAGAGTTTTTTAGTTCTCTTCTAGTTTACTTATAAATTATAGACTGTGTAACTGTTTGCTTATTTGAAATCAGTGTTTATAAATAGTGATATTTATAAACACTTCACAGAATCAAGATTCAGGTGATTAATTGTTCATTTAGGTCATGCTGAAAGCCCTGCTCCTGTGAATGGAATCAATGGCCACCGTGAAGACATAAATCAAGATTCTGTTCCCAAAACCTCCCTGAGGCTGGGCTTCTCTGAGTACTGCCGAATCTCTAACCTTATTGTGCTACACCTCCGAAAGGTGGAGGAAGGTAGGGTGTACCCTGCATTGTTGATGTGCTCAGCCATTTCTGTAAGCCATGTACCTGTGGGCTCCTTCTGATTGCTAAACACTGTATTGTTCTGTCAGAAGACATGATACATTGTTAGACTAGCTTACTTTAACAAAGTGAATCTCAAGTACCAGCATACCTGCCAGCACGGACATTTCTCCACGAGACAACGGCTTATGAATCATTGTTGTTAATGCCCTTGCCCTGTTTCAGTCTTTTGAAGCAGAATTTGGGATCTAATAATATTAAAAAAAAAAATTCAAATGTTTTTTGGGGTTTGTTTTGTTTTAGAATTATTTATATATTTATTTCCGTTTATTATTATTTTTTAATTTGACCAGAGAGAGAGAAAGGGGAAAAGCATGCTGCCAGGTCTGGGACTTGAACCATGGTCGGCCATGTGGAATCCAGTGCTTTTAACCACTACGCCACCTGCTGGCCCCGTGCAAATGTTTTATAAACACAAAGTAACTACTTATTACAGTAGTCTCTTGAGGTATTTACATTGGATTGTCAGAAAAATCACAACATATAATTTCTGTTTTTATGTGCCATGACTTTTCCAACAACTCAATAATTCATAGGCAAATAGTTGAGCCTAGAAATAAATATTACTGGAACTAGAAAGGGAATAAAACCTTCACCTAGTCATCGTAAGAGTGGCGTCTGGACACTGGTACACTCTCTACTCTTAGCTGCGTTACTGTACCAGTCATAACCCTGTAGTTAGCCATAAGACAGAAGGAAGGCAGTGTAATCAAGAAGTAGGACCTAACCTTCTACTTGGTGGTTAAGCCTTGGGTAATACTAACTAAGTTCCATAGAGACAAGGACTCCCCAGCAGTCTCGTCATACTATGATCCCCATCCCCGCCATCTTCCGACCAGGATGCGCAGAGCGTGTTCAGGTTGGCGGGGATCTAAATCCTGGGCCTGCCCATATGGCTCCAGTATTGTAGGCAGTGCCCTACTGCCCAGGCCACTGTAATTCAGTCACTTTTAAGTTTTGCTTGCTGCTGCTTTGTTTCCAACTTGAGCTTTCAATTGCTGTTTGCAAACATTGTCTTTTTTGTTGTTGTTGGTAAGAATTATTTAATTTAATTCACTTATTTTCATTTGACCTGAGAGGGACACAGTGAAAGAGAGCAAGAGAGAGGGAAGGTAAGAAAGCAAGCCACCAGGTTTGGGACTCGAACCATGGTCAACCATGTGGGAGTCCAGCGCCCTTAACCACCACACCACCTGTCAGCACTGCAAACATTCTCTTAAACGGCAAAGTATAGCAAGATGTGAAGACCTTGTACTTTGAAATCTTAATAGCATTGAGAAACTTGTTTCTTATAATCTCTATTTTATTAGGTTTCTCTTCTTTTCAAGTAATATAACAGGGTATTTTAGGTTTAAACGGGAACATTGCAGAAACAGCAGATACCTGTCTGACAGGTTGGTGCTTATCTGATCTGTATGTTGAAGCAAAGTCCAAGGGTTGGCAATACAGTTTGCTGAAAGAATAAACCTAAAATGTTTTTTGTTGTTACAGAAGAAGATGAGTCAGCATTAAAGAGAAGTGAGCTTGTTAACTGGTACTTGAAGGAAATTGAATCAGAAATAGACTCTGAAGAGGAACTTATAAATAAAAAAAGGATCATAGAGAAAGTCATTCATCGACTCACACACTACGTATGTACATAACTATGCTTGCTCTAGTATTAATGAGGAAAGGCATGCAAGCCTAACATCAGTATACATTCATAGTGGAATTTTTTTTGGATGTCTATTTATTTATTTACTTATTTATTTCATTAAAGAGGCTTCTTCTGCCTTAGGGTGCATGTCCTAACCAGAGACAGACAGACAGAGCCAATGAGAAGGAAAGTGAGGAATTACCCCGTGGGGGAATGGCCACACCACTATCCCTTTTCCTCCATTTTCTTCCTTGGATCCTAAGTGCATACGCACATGCTCCCAGTATGATTTTCAAGCCACCAGGTATAGGACTGAAATCACAATTGGCCATGTGGGAGTCCCAGGGTATAGCTGCTACACCTTCTGCTGGCCCTGGATGTCTATTTCGATTCAATGGGATATAGTCAGAATTAAGAGTTGTGAAGCAGGAGTATTAACAAGTAACAACTCTTTCCTCAGTTAAAACAGCAAAACTCAGATTATGCTTGGTATGGTGACTTTGAGGTCTTAGTCTTTGGTTATTTTAACTCCTTTATCCCAGACCTACAGTGGTGCCTGGCACCTATATATTTATCAAATGATTAAGTTATCCTGTTTAAATGACAGACTCGACTATTGTGCTAATTCACTTCACAGCGCTCACTGTGTAAGTATCACAGGTGTCACGTGTGAAAGTCATCAACTGCACAAAGCTGTTTACCTGTGAAGGAAGATCAGCGTGTGATTACATTAGCACGTCTGGGTAGGAATAGCTACTCACATCAGAATCTAACAAAGTCAGGCTGAACTGAGATGGTGTGAGATCAGTAATCTTCCTAGTGGTGGGAAATGTCTTGGCACAGATCAGCTTTTCCCTCTGTAGTGCCCTTGGGATCCATGTAAGATACTGTGACCTTGGCGAGAAATCCACATTGCAGCTGTAGAAAACATTGCGAAGCTAATCTTAACTGGGATATATCTGTTTCATTTGACTCATCACCTGAAGTAACTTGTGGAAGACCAGGGAGTTTGTACTGTGCTGATTACAGGTGCTTACCCTGGAGGGGTGTGAGCACCCAGAGTAAGTGCTCGAAAGAGTCCAGTCCCTCTTTAGAGATAGCAGTGTTCGTACTGTGCAGTTTTGCCAGCCTTCTTGGGATTTAAACATTATTTCCTGAGTTCTTTGCCATAGGTTTGGCTGGGAGCTCTTCTCATGTGCTTACATTTTCCACTGATTTAGTGGAATACCACAGATTTTAAATCTATCATCAAGATTAAGGCCCGCCCAGGATGGGGCAAACAGAAATGCGTTACCAGGTGGTGGCTGAGGCCACACAGGGGGCCTAGATTCAGTTTGGGCCAACCCAAATTGACTGGGCACAATGGCACAAACTGTGGTACTAGCTGACTAGGAGAAAGGGAGGAGGATCGCTAAGTAGTAGTAGTAGAGACCCTGTCAGAATATCTCTCTTGGTCTCCATCTTACGCACAAACTCTCTGAAAAAAAAATACATTTTTTTAAAAAAATTTTGAGTCAGTCGATACGTTCTACTGTTATTTTAAGTTCCTTCCTTCTTTCTTTTTTCCTTCCACAGGTACCTCTAACAGAGTCCCATCCTGCCTTAGTTCCTCCCTATGTATAGCCTTCTGGCCAATCAAGATCACAGGCATGCCCCACGTGTTTAACCCAGAATCCAAACCAAGGGACTGCCCATGGTTCCAGTACCACATGGTGGCACCAGTGGCTGGGCCTGTTTTGTTTTGCTTTGCTTTTTAATTGCCAGGGAATATGTAGGCTCACCAGATAAAGGAAGGGAGAAAACACCCGCTATGGAGTGTGGTCCGTCTCTGTTTCTCCATCCTTGATTTCTGCAAATGTATCCACATGTAGTGAGCATTTTACAAGCTACCATAGCCAGAGTTGGAACCACAGTTGGCCATGTGGGATCTGACTCCCTTAACCTTGGGCTACAAGGTCAGCCCCTACTTTGTTTTGTTTTTTAATTGCCAGAGGTCAACTGACATTTTTTTCAAGCCACTGGGGCAGGATCCAAACTGTGGTTGGCAATGTGAGATCTAGATCTAGTTTTCTTAACCTCTGAGCCATTTCTGCTTCTAAAAA